TTCTATTAACAGCAATGATTCAGACCACTAATTTTTGTGCTCTAATAGAGCACTAATGACATGACAATGAATAAAAAAATAAAATAAAAACAAACCAAGACCAAAACATCACATCACTGTGAGTGGAGCCCACTGCCAACTCGTTAGAGCTACCTTTAGAGCTCAAAAATTAAAACCCCAAAGCATTTTTCTTCAATTAATTAATTCCCTCACATTTCTAACCACAGCAATCTGAAGTCATATGATTAACAAAACATATCATCTAACATAGTCCATAATTGCTCAAAGTATCAATGTTCTACAAAGTTAAATGGTAGTAGTCAAATAATAAATTTAGGATATGTTTGAATTAAATTTGTAAGGAAATTTCTAAAAATATATATATATATATATATTTACTTTTGATTTTATTAACAAATCTATTTCACTTTTCTTTCACTTAAAAAATTCCTATATAAATTTAAAATCTAAACACAGAATTAATTTTTTTTTTTTTTTAAATAATTGATAGGAATGAGATAAGGAAAGAAAATTTGTATTTACATAGGTGTGGAGTCTGTAATTTTATAAAAAAAAATGACTAAATGTCTCACATAGGTGTGGAGTCTGTAATTTTATAAACTCCACACATATAAATATTTGATCATTTATTTAATAAAAAATTTAAAATTTATAACATTTTTCAATTAGAAATTATATGTAGTTGAATATAGTCGGATTGAACTCCCAAACACGGAAGGACCATATAACGGAAAAGGCAAAATGGAAAAGTCAAATTCAAAATGGAAAAGTTCTAGTCGTTCGTTGATTCTTCTAGTCGCATCAATGTGAATGCAATATGCATAGCTCCAATGAATAAAAGAAAGAAAAATCTTACACTAAACGTGTTGAAAACACAATCTATACAAACCCAAAACCAACAAACTACAGAGACGCCCTTTCAGTTGTACAAATAATTATGGATGTGCGCGATGCCCTTCAAATAGTCGGAGAGTAAAATTATAAATTAAATAATAGATTAATAGATTAATAAATTATAATTTAAATGATTTTGAATGGATTAATGAATTAAAAAATATTTTAATAAATTATTAAATATTTGTATAGGAATATTTTGAAAAGATGGTTAAGAGCTGACTTTTGTCTTTTAACAAAGTTGTTTTTTACTTTTTTAGAAAATGATTTGAGAAGTTGATAAGAAGTTATTTTTAGCTTTTTTAATTAGGATTTATTTATAATATAGCATTACAATAAAATGACCAAAATACTCTCATTCAATTTAGAAAATTTATAATTTCACTCATGTGGCTCATTTTGCAACTTAAGGGTAGTTGATATAATTTCCCATGTTGCGTTTTGCTACCTTCCCAAATGGTTTGTTGCCAAAAGAGCCAAGCTATTGGCTGTGTTTTGAAGCTGCAAAACGTTACTCTTTAGTTGGTTTCCAAATTACCCCATAATATATAATACTAATTTGTATAATATTTTATAAGACAAATTATACTGATGGTCCCTATAGTGTGAGACTCATGTCACTTTAGTCCTTAATTTTTCAATTGTGACACATTTAATCTTAAATTTTAAATCTTGTTCTAAATAAAGACAATTAAAAAAATTATTGCTTAATTTCAAGGGCAAAATCGTCAATTTGATAAAATATAAACTAATTTGATAAAAATAAATGTCAAAAAAATATTTTAAAATTAATAAAAATTATTTTTATACACTACAGATAAAATTATGTAAAATTGATATATCTTTTAGACATTTATTTATTTATTTATTTTACTAAATTAATTTTTATTATATGTTTGGATGATAATCATGTAATAGATGGTTGTTTTTATTTTCATCAAATTAGTTTCTATTTTTTTAAAAGTTAAATATGACGACAACTTTGATATCATTATTAAACCAATCCATTAAATTAAAAAATCTAAAACTAAAAAATTTCATATATTATATATATCGATTACACATTAAAATTCTAACCACTGCCTATTACATTATCATCATCCAAACACATAATAAAAATTAATTTGGTAAAATAAATAAATACATAAATGTTTAAACAATTTATCAATTTTACATAATTTTATCTTTTGTGAGTAGAAATAATTTTTAAAAATTTAAAAATATTTTTTGGACATTTATTTTTATCAAATTAGCTTATATTTTATCAAATTGACGATTTTGCTCTTGAAATTAAGCAATAATATTTTCAATTGTCTTTATTTGAAACAAGATTCAAAATTCAGGTTAAATGTGTCACAATTGAAAAGTCGGGGACCAAAGTGACACAAGTCCCAAACTATAGGGATTGTTAGTGTAATTCACCCTTATTATATATATATATATAACACAAATTAATTTTACATAATAAGTTTCATATATATAACTACTATAATTTGTAACAAATTGCACATTTTAAATCTTTTCCACACTCATTTTTACTTTGGCATTTCATTGGAGGTTAAAAAATATATATGTATTAACTATAACAGAGCGGAGCAGTTTGAAAGATGGATTATAAATTTTAAAGTTTAATCCGTGATTAACGAATAGAGCGGTACAGATTAATACAAATCAGTGCGATTTTAGTAGATTAAGCGATATTTTACACAGTTCTACTAACAATGCTAAATACAAAATGATTCATAGAAAATGTAATGCGAGCTGAGAATAAACCCAGTTTAGGGAGGGACCCATTTTCAGAATAGGGACAAGCTTCTCCTCTGTCCGAGATAAGATTAGAACGTGTTGTGTTGTTGGGTCCGTGGGAGCTCACCACGGGTCTTGTTTCGATGATATAAACGGTTTGATGTGTTGAACTCATCAAGTACTTTATTCTGGAAAAAAATCGTGTTAATCGGATATCGATAACGACTTCCTTAAATCATATATCTGTCAACGGTAAATATGATTTTCAAAATAAATTATTGACAAAAATTTGATCCGATCAAGTAACTATTCGATATCTTATTAACATAATTTTATGCAGGCATAAAATACTCGACTAGCTCTACATATTTTACAGTTAAAATTATCGAAACAAGACCCGTGGTAAATCTCATGAGCCCAAACAGCACGGTCCAGCCTACTATGGTCCTATTTGGTGTAGCTGTTAAAACATATTATAAATTATAACTTAACAGATTATAGATTATGACTTTAATCAAAAACTGTTAATCTGTTTGGTATAACTGTTAGATTATAGATTTAAGTTGCTGAGTAGTGTTTGTTAAATAAGCTGTGAAGTAGCTTTTTCAATTAACTTTTATTTTTTATTATTCACTATTTGTCTACATTTCTCATAAAAAATAATAATAATAGTTTATAGTCCATTTGGGTCTTTTTCTATTTTTCAAAAAATAAAAAATAAAAAAATCTAAGAGTACAATCGTAAATTAACATGTCTACAGCAAAAACTGATGATCAGAAGCAAGGGATGAGTAACTTTTCAGAATTAACTTTTTTAACTTAAAATAAATTGTTAGAATCAGAAGCTATTTAAAATAAATTTAACCAAACAGTCTAAAATAACTTTTTAAAAACCAAAAGCCATAAGTTGGCTCAAAAAAGTCCCACCAAACACCCCCTAGTTTGCTTACTATGAATCTATTTTGATAATCTAAATCATTTATCTTGTTGAATCTACTCAGAAGATTATTTATGTAAAAAATTAAATTAATTGGATATCGATAATAATATAATTATTACAAAATTATGTAAAAGAAATAAATAGTTCAAATCATTGTGTATTATTTATACCGAAGAGAAACTAACAATCTGACTAACTTACTTGACCAGATATCTTCCCCAATTTTCTCAAGAAGTAGTTGTCATTAAAAAAAAAATATATATATATATATATATATATGAGTGCGTGTAAAAGCACCAAGAACATGAATTCCAGATTGAGATATCTAACCCATTTCTTGGGCTGAACATCTAACCCATTTCTTGGGCTGAACTAGATCAAGTCAATTACACCAATCTTGACTTCTAGGCAAAATAGAAGAAACAAGTAGCAAAATGTGGAAACTATGGGATGATTTGGGAAGCTAGCTAAAAGATAACTTTTAACTTTTAATCCATTTTGAATCATATTATCTTTTATATTTTTTACACACAAAATGACAAAAAAATCAGAAAAAGTCAAAAAGTCAATTTTTAACCAACTTCTCACAGAACAGGTTGCCATATTAATAAATTCATATTGACCTAGTAATGGTTGATTTAAAATTCAATAATATATTACAATCTTATAAATTGAAATGGAGATCTCTAATCCATGCAACAGAGGGGACTTACGCGTAGATATTAATAGGTGGATGACACTTTCTATCAAACACTATTAAAAAAAAGTCACTAATCACTAATTTTCAGTGATAGTTTAAAAATTATTACAAAAAAATGTCATTAATCTTAAATTTTAGCGACAGTTTAAAAAATCGTCATAAAAAGTCACTAATTTTTAACTTTCAGCGACAGTTTGAAAAAATTCGTCACAAAAAATGGTCACTAATTGTAAGTTTCAGCTACAATTCATAAAAACGTGACAAAAAAAAAAGTTAATAATTGTCAATTTTTAACTATATATGCAAAAAATCGTCACAAAAAATTATTTTTAGCGATGATTTTACTAGGATTTATTTTCAATAGGACTTGATGGAAATTAAATCCAATTATTAGGACCTATTAATAGTTTACCTATTCATAAATAATTACTTACTTTCCTTAATGTGTATTACCCATTATTATTTGCTAGTCTTTCCAAAGATATTGAATCAAGTCCAAATGGTAACAGTCAAAGCTGAGGAATAGCAGATTTCGGTTAGTTTCCTAGACCTTTAGCACCTCGGCTGAGGGGGTTGTGTACCTGAATCAACTCAAGAACAGTAGAGGCTTAAGATTTGTTGAATTTCAGTGTATATATTAAAACATGACCTTATGATATTACAATTTTGAAAAATTAGAACTTTTGATTGTAGGAATTTTTAAAATTTCTTTTATTAAACCCAATGAATTAACCAAATGATTTACCTAGTCATTGGGAATTGAACTAGAGTACAAATTACAAGACCAAATATCCAAAAAAGAGTACCCTTTAAGATTATAATCCCATGACAAAGGAAAGGTGATGCAATTTTGCCAAACAGTAAAAAGAACTGCACCAACTGAAGGAGAAAATATTGGAAGACTAGCCTTCAGATTTTGCAAGTGGCTTTTTGCTAGAAGAATAGACCTGATAAAGAAGCCTCCACTCCCAACTTGAGCAATTCATTTCATTTCCATTGTTGCGCTTGTGCTTCGCAATACCCTTAAACATGAGAATTGCATTCTTTGCTTGGCTTTTCTCTATTACTCTTCTCTTGAGCTTCGGCATTAGTACTGTTCCAGTACACAGCCAATGCCTCAATGATCAGAGCTCACTGTTGCTCCAATTGAAGAACAACCTCAGATACAATTCAGCAGTTTCTGTCAAGTTGGTAAATTGGGCTCAAACAACCGATTGTTGCCGTTGGAAGGGCGTGACTTGCGACAAAGAGGGTCATGTTACTGGTCTCAACTTGAACAGCGAATCAATCTCAGGTGGAATCAACCACTTGAGTAGTCTTTTCAGTCTCCAATTTCTTCAAAACCTGAATTTGGCTTACAATAACTTCAACTTCACACAAATTCCACCCAGTTTTGGAAACCTTACCAGACTGACACATCTGAATTTATCAAATGCAAATTTTGCTGGGCAAATTCCGATTGTATTTTCGTGCATGACAACGTTGGTTACTCTTGATCTATCTACCCTGTACTTCCCTGGAGCACCTTCACTGAAACTTGAGAACCCAAATTTATTAAAGCTCGTTCAAAACCTCACGGGGCTAAAAACACTCCTACTTGATGGGGTAAATATTTCGGCCCAGGCAAGCCAGTGGTGTGAGGCCATTTCGTCTTCACTACCTAATCTGCAAGTCTTGAGCTTGTCCAATTGCAATCTATCAGGTCCTATTGATTCTTCTCTCCAGAAGCTTCAGTTTCTTTCCGACATCCGACTTGGTCAAAACAATCTCTCTGCCCAAGTCCCGAAGTTCTTTGCAGATTTGCCGAATTTGAGATCCTTGCATCTCTGTTCTTCCAACTTGCATGGAAAATTTCCGGAAAAGATATTCCGAGTATCAACATTGGAATCTCTAGACTTGTCGTACAATGGATTACTTCAAGGGTTTTTGCCACAGTTTCCTCCAAATGGATTCCTTCACACCCTGGTGCTTAGCAACACAAATTTTTCTGGGACATTACCAGATTCTGTTGGTAACCTGAAAATGCTGTCTAGAATGGAGCTTGCAGGCTGCAATTTCAACGGACTAATTCCGAATACCATGGCAAACCTTACTCAACTTGTTTATTTGGACTTGTCATCCAACAGTTTTACTGGTACAATCCCATCCTTTCCGATGTCCAAGAAGATCACATACATAGACCTATCTCATAATGCTCTAACAGGTCATGTTCCTTCCACTCACTTTCAAGGCCTTTCAAATCTTCTAAATATTGATTTAGCGCACAATTCATTCAATGGGAGAATTCCTTTGTCTTTGTTTTCACTACCATTGCTGCAAAAAATTCAGCTTTCCAATAACCAATTTGATGGTCCAGTTATTGGATTTTCTAACGAATCCTTGCCTTCATTGGATATACTGGATTTGAGTAGAAACAAATTACAAGGATCAATTCCCTCATGTTTCTTTGAACTTCGAAGTCTAAATGTCCTATCGCTTTCTTTCAACAACTTCAGTGGCACCATACAGCTAGAAATGATCCAGAGGCTCCAAAATCTCACAAGACTTGAGCTTTCATACAATAGCTTGTCAATTAATGCAAGTGACAGTGAGTCTAGCTTGTCTTCCTTTCCCCAGCTCCGTATATTAAAAATGGCTTCTTGCAAGCTGCGAAGATTTCCTGAGCTACAGAACCAACAAAGAATGATTAGTTTGGACCTCTCAGCCAACCAAATTTCAGGGAGAATACCAAACTGGATTTGGAAAATTGGAACTCTGATGCAGTTGAATCTCTCTCATAATCTCCTGGTAGATTTGGAAAAACCATATAAATTTCCTAGTCTTTCTGTCCTTGACCTGCATTCTAACCAACTTCATGGGGAAATTCCAATACCACCAAGGTCTGTTACCTATGTGGATTACTCAAGCAACAATTTCAACTCTTCTATACCTGCTAAAATTGGCAACAAGCTCACCTTTTCTTATTTCTTCTCTCTTTCAAGTAATAGCGTCACAGGAACCATCCCCAAATCAATATGCAACGCAAGGTTCCTCAATGTTCTTGATTTATCCAATAATAATTTCAGTGGCAAAATACCTCCATGCTTGATTGAAAGGAGTGCTGAGACTCTTGGGGTGCTGAATTTGAGAAATAACAGTCTTGGTGGTAAGATCTTGGGTACATTTCCGAAAAGTTGTGCTTTGGAGACACTAGACATCAACAGGAATCATTTGGAAGGGCAGGTTCCCAAATCTCTTGTCAATTGCACAGTGTTAGAGGTTTTAAATGTTGGTAACAATGAGATAAATGATAGTTTCCCGTGCTTCTTGGGGAACTTATATAGCTTGCGTGTATTAGTTTTGCGATCCAACAAGTTTCATGGAGGCATTCACATTTGTCGACTAGGCCATTATATGTGGCTAAAGATTCAAATCATTGACCTAGCTTCGAATAACTTTAGTGGTGATCTACCAGATAAAGTCTTCACACATTGGCAAGCAATGACGGCTGCTGATCATAATGCAAAATCAAATTTCAGTCAGCTGCAGTTTAAGTTCCTAAAACTTAATGGCTTCTACTATCAAGATACAGTGACACTCAACAATAAAGGGATGGAAATGGAGCTAGTGAAAATTTTAACTATTTTTACCTCCATTGATATCTCGAACAACAATTTCCAAGGGGTGATACCAAATAGCATTGGCCATCTCAAATCTCTCTATGTTTTTAACACATCGCACAATGCTCTCACAGGTCCAATTCCATCATCAATTGGGAACTTGACACAGCTTGGATCATTAGACCTCTCACATAACAAGCTAAGTGGGAGCATCCCAGTGCAACTTGCAAGCCTTACATTTCTTGCATTCCTGAACTTATCATATAATCAGTTAGTTGGAATGATCCCAATAGGCACTCAAATTCAAACATTTTCAGATACTTCCTTTCAAGGAAACAAGGGATTATGTGGGTATCCTTTGAACATCGTTTGCAACAATGCCTCACCGGTTCCATCCCCAGTGTTGAGATCTGACAGAGTGCCCGTAGTATTTCCACCCAGTTTAGAGCCCGAAATCTTTATAAGTGCTGCTGTTGGATTTGTGGTGGGTTTGGGAATCTTCATTGGGTTACTTGTTTGTTGTAAAGGATGGAATGAATGGTACTTCAAACATGTTGAACAAGTTGTTGAGAGGATTTTCCATCTGGAAGAAAAACGAAGAAGAAGAAATCGTAGACAACAAGCTTACAGAGATCCCATTCGGAGACTTTAGAGGTGGTGGAAGGTTAGAATAAATCTTAACAACACTATATTATTGTTTAGGACTTTCTTGATTCCCTTTTTTTTTTTTTTTTTTTTTTTTTTTTTGGGTTATAGTTGAAGTGTGTTCATCACTGTAATGTTAAGTATCAAATAAATGGTAGTGATAAGTTCATTGCTGCAAGGAGTAATTCAGAAACTATAATGATGACAACAATGTCAGGACTCAGAAAATTTATTTTTAAAAAAAATTATAAAAATGTATTGTGTGGTTATGATTAATTTCAAGTGATTCCTACTTTACAAATATTAAATCTAGACCACATCTCACTATTCAGAGTACATTTCTTGACAATTTGTCTAGTTTACTATCTTTTCTATAATGATAAAAAGCTCTAGATGTTTTCTACGTTCAAATGTACCTTGAAAATGAAAATTGTTTTGTTCACACATTTGAGAAGTATGTGAACAACATATAATTTGTAATAAGTCCTATATCTATATATACTATACAGTGAAGTTGGAATGGAGTGGTGGGTGACGGGAGGTGGCTCGACTGGGAGAGAGGGATGCAGGAGGGGCTGCACTGGAGAGAAAGAGGTCACAAAGTTGCAGAGAAGGAGAGAGGGGTCGCAGGGTTTGTGGGGAGGGGAGAGAGTGGTTTTAGGGGTGGCTGAGTAGGAAGAGAGGGGGCGACAGGAGGAAGGGTAGCAAGAGGTGGATGGAGGAGGGGTGGTGGGAGGTGAATGTTACGGTTTGGGTTTGAGATTGGTTGAAAAAAAATAAATAAATAAATTATAAATATATTTCTTGACATTTTCTTAAAAATATGAATTGTTTCATGTAATTTGAAAAATTATAAAAAATTACTTGTTAAAAAATTTTATTTATCATAATTAGCTGAAAAAATAAAATTTTTAATTGTTCTCCTATACAATAATAATATTACCTGAATTATTAATTAAAATAAATTTATGATATTATTAAAAATTGTTAATTGATTTGATGATTTATTAATAAAATTAGTTATTTGTTATAAAATTAAAAATTTTAGAAGGTGAGATGTAATTCTCAAAATTATAAAAGATAATTCATATTTTAATCAAATTTTAGAGAGTGTATTTATAATTTATCAAAAAAAAAAAAAAATATGAATATGAACATGAACGGTATATTTGCTTACATTTTGCCCTAATTCAGTTTGCTAGAGTTAAGGCATCATTTAGAACTTGAAACCTTTATGGAGGTGAATTCTAATGAAAGAATCAATAATGGAGATTAATGTTCACATCTAATGAAAGAATCAATCATGGAGATGATCAATGTTCCCAACGAACAAAGACGTTTTTTTTTTTTTTTGGTTAAAATTTATGAAAAGATAAAATAAGTTAAAATAGTTAATAAGATAAAATGTCACATCAAATTTATAATTATTTTATTTTTTCTCTCACAAATATAATATCCAACTATAAAAAATAAAAAAAAAATGAATCCACAATGCCGATGCCACATCAAATCGGTATAATGATTTAACGTGGAAAAAAAATCACAATTAGAGAAGTCTAATTGTGATAAAAAAAAAAATCATGCGCAAAGCCATAAAATAATCTATTAAGAAGATAAAAATGAATTACACACGAGAATCCTCAATTACCTAGCGAATCTATGCCTTAAGTGAACAAAACTTGATGTACCTCTTCCACCACAGTTTTTACCTCGAAATTGCTTTGCTCAATGTTGAATCCACAATGCCGATGTCAAATTCACGACAATGAGTTATTCTGAAATCCACCAAAACTGCAGGTTCAAGTTATCTGGAATCTACCGATAAACACCTCTTGCTTTTTGTGAATAAAAGAATAAAGCAACCATTGATGATAGTTAATATGAAGCTCCTTGATCAATTGATCACCCTCAAATCATCAAAAAAATGAATACATAAATACCATCCAATATAGAACACTTTGTTTTCTCTTCTTCTCTAAGAATCTGGATGGGTTAAACCCTAAAAATAGCAAACAGCGCATTTTATACTAAATAGAGCCATGAAAACCACTCGAGCGCTCACTTTACTACTTGAGCGGTGTGACTAAAGGTGATACTCACATATAGGCCAGCCGCTCGAGCATAACATCTACCGCTCTAGCGGTAAAACATGTTTGCCATAAGTTCAAAATGCAGGCAGAGATATTAGATAAACCACTTCACCGCTTGAGTGCACCCCGTGCTTAGTTAGTGAAGTGGCAAATAAAGAATGCTCAAGTCAAGATATAGAATGTCGACACAAACTCCTCTACACAGGCATAACTCGAGTTAGATTCGAATCTAAACTCTCATAACTTATGGATACAATAAAGAAAATGAAAATACAATTGAATAGAGTTTTGTCCGACAAGATTGTCAATTACAAAAACCTAACAATCTTGTTGAACCCATCAAGAAGATTATTTATGTAAAAATTAAGTTAATTGAATATCAATAGTTATATGATCACCACAAAATCATATCAAAGAAATAGATGGTTCAAATCATTGTCTATTATTTATATTGAAGAGAAGCTAACGATATGACCTACTTAACCGGTTATCTTTCCGAATTTTCTTGAGAAGTAGTTGTCAAAAATAAATAAATAAATAAATAAAAATTTGAGTGGGTGTGAAAGCACCAAGAACATAAATTCCAGATTAAGATATCTAACCCATTTCTTGGACTGATCTAGATCAAATCAATTACACCAATCTTGACTTGTAGGCAAAATAGAAGAACAAATAGTAAAAACAGAGTATGTGGAATATGTCAAATTCTCGTGGCTTTAACTGAAGCAACCATAGAGTAGGTTGGCATATTTCAAAAATAGTTAGGGTAGTAGATTTTAAATTCATACTGACCTAGTAATCATTGATTTAAAATTTAATAATATATTACAATCTTATAAATCGAAATACAGATCTCTACTTTCCTTATTGTGTATTACCAATTATTATTTGCTAGTCTTTCCAAGACCTTTAGCACCTCTGCTGAGGGGTAGTGTACCTGAATTAACTCAAGAACAGTAGTGGATTAAATTTTTTGAATTTTGTCCAAATGTTAAAACCTTATGATATTACAACTTTGAAAAATTAGAACTTTTGATTATAAGAATTTTTAAAATATCTTATATTAAACCCAATGAATTAAGTGACCAAATGATTTACCTAGTCATTGGGAATGGGGCTAGAGAGAAATCTCAAGACCAAAATATCCAAAAAGAGTACCTTTTAGATTAGCATCCCATGACAAAGGAAAGGTGATGCTATTTTGCCAAACAGTCAAAGGAACTGCACCAACTGAAGGAGAAAATATTGGAACACTTCTTCAGATTGTGCAAGTGGCTTTTTACTAGAAGCCTCCACTCCCAACTTCAGCAATTCATTTCAATTCCATTGTTGTGCGTGTGCTTCACAATACCCTTAAACATGAGAATTGCATTCTTTGCTTGGCTTTTCTCTATCACTATTCTCTTGATCTTCTGCATTTGTATTGTTTCAGCACACAGTCAATGCCTTAATAATCAGAGCTCATTGTTGCTCCAATTGAAGAACAGCCTCACATTCAATTCAGCATTTTCTGTCAAGTTGCTAAATTGAACTCAAACAAACGATTGTTGTGGTTGGGAGAGCGTGACTTGTGACAAAGCAGGTCATGTCACTGGTCTATCTCAGAATTTGTCAAATGTAAATGTTGCTTCCAATTGAATTGTCATAAATGACAAAGTTGGATGGGCGTTGCTTGCTGCTATGTTTATTTCTCTCTTTTTTTTTTTTCTTCGTCAACAAAATGACGTCATTTTGAATAATTGAAAGAAACTCTAGAGAATGAAACTCTAGAGGATCTGAATGCCTTCAATCCAAAGGCTTTCAATTGCTTCTATAGAAGGACAAATCTGCAGTATTACAAATTTTAAAAATACATATATTTAGAAAATTATAAAAACACATCCATAGGTTATAATTATTTTAGATAAAATTATTATTACACCAATTTTAAAGCTCACCATACAACTCAATTCGAGATAAATTTCAAAATATATTTGTATGATTCATAACATTTGTATTAATTAATTCCCGCACATTTCTAACCACAATACACTGAAATCATATGATTAACAAAACATGTCATCTAATATAATCCATAGTTGCTCCAAGTATCAATGTCCCATAAAGTTATATATTAGCAGTCAAATAATAATTTGAGGTTATATTTGGATATTACATTTGACAGAAAATTTACAAAGAAAAAAAAAATGAAATTTGTGAAAAATAAAAAAAAATCTCAATTTTATTAACAAATCTATTTCATTTTTCTCTCACTTAAAAAATTCTTACATAAATTTTCTAAACAGAGAATTAAATTTTTATTTTTATTTTAATAATTGATAGGAATGAAATAAGGGAAGAAAAATTGCATTTGTAAAACTAAGATTTAAACTCAAACATCACATCAAAATTTATATCGAATGAAGAATACAGAGTCTGGAATGAAGACTTCATAACTCGAGCTGAATCTTTAGTCATAAGCATGTCGTGTGAATACAATTACTCTTTCAAAATTCTCCATGTAGTTTCAAAATTTATAGCACCACCACCAGATATCAATGCCAGAATATTCACAGTATTTCGTTCAACCTTGCCAGAGCCCCTTACATCCACCTTTGCTGAACATCTCACTCTCCACATGGCTTTTCTTGTTCATCATACTTTCAATAAATTTAGATCTTGTTCAAAACATTGCTCAAATTGAAGCAAAGCCTCACATTTGACACTTACCTTTCCTCCTCCACGCTCAAGTCCAAACTCACGTCATGGAGTTCAAGTGCCGATTGTTGTTCTTGGGCTGGCATGACACGCAATGATAGCTATGTTATCAACCTTGACCTCATATCAGGTGGGATTGGCAACACGAGCGATCTCTTTGATCTCCAATATCTTCATAGCTTGAATTTGGCCAACAACTCCTTCAATACTACTGCTCAAATTCCATCTGGGTAAAAACAGAGTATGAGGTTAGTTAATCTCAACTTCTCTAACTCAGGCTTTGTTGGTCAAATTCCTCTA